AATTTGTTAATTTTGAAATTGTTGAAATTTTGATATTTTATATATAAACTTTTTTTTTAATTCACTAAGGGTTGAAGTATATATTGGTGGTCGAATTGTGGTATTTAATATGTCGAATTTTTTGATTTTTATCATGTAATAATTGTTGAATTGTGGTGTTGAATTTTATAATTTGAGTCATGTGATAGTTGTTGAATTTGTTAATTTTAAAATTGTTGAATTTTGATATTTTATATATACTTTTTTTAATTCACCAATGATTGAGGCATATATTGATGATCAAATTGTAGCATTTAATACGTCAAATTTTTTGATTTTTACTATGCAATAATTGTTGAATTGTGGTGTTGAATTTATAATTTGTGTCATTTGATAGTTGTTAAATTTATTAATTTTAAAATTGTTGAATTTTAATATTTTATATATAGGCTTTTTTTTATATTGGTAGTCGAATTATGGTATTTAATATGTTGAATTTTTAATTTTTACTATATAATAATTGTTGAATTATAGCATTTAATATGTTGATTTTATTCATTATGCGCAACTCTTTCTAATGATCACTTGGTCAATAACAATTTACCGAACTACAGTCAGCGATATAGGAAAGCTACATAGTGAATACAGCAATATTCTTGGTTTTGCATTAAGCAAACTTGTTGTTGACGAAGCCTACAATACATGAAATACCAAAGAGCAGGTGTATAAGAATATTAGGTGGGTTTGTGCCTTGGGTCAAGTTTTTCTATCTTTGACAGACTTTCTCACATGTTCGGCATCCAAACTAGAAGATTTATTCTAGGAACAAGTAGTGCAAAGTCTCTGAGCAAGAATATCAAGTAAATACTTAGAAACTGGACTATACAACTGTAAAACTTATAAGAAGAACCTCACATATTCTTATTGACCCTCCACTTTTTTTTTTCAGAGAAAATTTTGTAAAAAAGTAGGTGATTTAGCTTATCCTCTCCAAAAGATCAACATATTGTTTACTTACCAAATTGGTCGCATTGTTTACATTTTTACCTGTCACAACAAACACATAGATCTTATAGAACTAGACATATAGATTACATGCTTCGAATGTAGCAACCTGGACAAACAATGACTTGAGACCTCTGGTGCGAATTTCTGACCTTTCTGACCTCTCTATAGTGCTGACGTCGAAGAGGCTATATTTTTTTTACTTTGTCGCAGGGTTTTTTTCTTATCTTAGATATACTATATATGTAGATTAGAGTAGAGACTAGTTTAGATAGTAGTATATAATTTTTACAGAGCTCGACACAGGCTTATAATTGTGACCGTCTGGTGCAGATGAAAAATCCTGTATTTAGTTTGGTTTTTCTTCGTTTTTCTCTTACTCCATTCTTTTCTTATTTGTATTTTTTTTACCGTATTCTCCTATACCTCTGTGTTTTTTAAAAAATTTTTTTTTCTTTCACTTCTCTATGAGAAGATGTCATCAGATTGATGATATCCTATTGTAGGGTAGTGGTTAGACAAGCCATCCAGTTAGGGTATATTTATATATCTCGCCAGTGCGGCAGGTCACCTATAGGTGCTTGAAGGCGAAGTAGCCGTAGGATATCAGGACTTAAGTTTTATTGTTTTTGCATTTTTCATAAGATGATAACTTTAATAAATAGTGTCACTGATGCGATCTTGTCTAAGTGAAAAAAAAAATAAAATAAAATAAATAAATTATTATATTATTTATAGCTATGCGTCTTGACAACCACTCTTTCTGATGATCTTTTGGTTAATAATTTTAAAAAACTGAACTATGGTTAGTGTAATAGAAGATATCAAAGAGTAATAATATACTTGGCTCTACACAAGTAGATTATTACCAACAAAGTACCAAGAATGTAAAACCAAGGAGCAGACTACTTTGGACAGTTTTTGTAGAGGTCAAACTTCTCTGCTAGATAGACTTCTCTATTATATTCAGCATTCAAACCAGAAGGATATTTTGAGAACACAGAACGACTAGGTCGATACTAAGTATATTAAAAAAAACTGAAGATAGTACCTATACAACCATAAAACTTATAAGGAAAAAACTACAAAGTTTCGATAACACACCACTTTTTCTGAAAAAATTTTGTCAAAAAGTAGATGTTTCAGCTTACCCCCTCCAAAAAATCAACATGTAATTTTTTAAAACAGTCGGTATTGTTTACCTAACCCAAAACAGGTTAGCTCTCCTAAAATGGGTTGTTTACTTTTAGTAAACACAAAATCAATAGATGTCCGAATTAAACAACTGAACATATCTAACGGACAATACAATTAGGCAACATGTCTCAATCGAAAAAAACTGTTTAAACAATACCTCGAGACTATTGGTGTTTTTTACTCTATCTAGTCTAGTTTAAATCTACTATTTTTTTTTTTTAATGTGGATTAGATATATTATTAGAATAGAGTTAGATACAGAGCTTCTTTATCTTGTAATATATAATTTTTGTTAGCTTGACATAGGCTTATAATTGTGACTATTAGATTTTTTTACTTTCGTTCTTTCTCTTTCTCCTTTTTAGTATTAGTATTAGTATTAGTATTTTTTTCTTTTTTTCACTTCCCTACGAGAAGATGTCATTAGATTGGTGATATCCTATTGTAGGGCGGTGGTCTGTTATAACTTTCTAGAATAGGTAGTTTTCAGATTTACTGTGATATGTCTTTTGTAAATTTTTCTGCCTAGTGTAGCAGATCACTTGTAATTACTCTTAGAAGTAACTGCAGGATGTCAGGCCTAGATATTAAGTATAAAGTATCTTGTATAGCCTGTGACAAGACAATCTTAATAAAGGATCACTGACAAGACTGCTAAGTTGAAAAAAAAAATTATATTATTTATAGCTTGATACAATTGATATGACAGCAATATTTAATAGAAAATTTAAATATATATTCTATATAAGAGATCATTTTACCTATTTTTTTTATACAGAACTAGCAGAATCTAAATCTACTGAAAAAGCTTCTATAATATTATTTAATTTTTGTTTAATGTATAGTCTATCTGCAATTCTTCATACTGATAATAGAGAATAATTTATTAGAAACATATTTAAGAAAACAATGAGCCTTTGGTCAAACATTAAATTAGTTTATAGTTGGCCTAGAAATCCTCAATACCAAGGCTTTGTTAAGAAAGAAAATGATATTCTTCAGACGAAGTTAGAATATTAGATAGAAGAAACATCTAGCGAAGATTGGAGTGTTGGTTTAAAATTTATAATTTGTAATTATTTTTTGTATTAATTTTTAATTTATAATAAAATTTATTATTGTCATTGTTATTAATTTTTTTTTTATATGATTTATATCTTTTTTTATTATATTGTTTGTATATTTTTTTATTATATATTTCGCATACCAATTTTGTATACTTCTATTAATAATATATTAATTAGTAAATATTTAAAATAGTTTGTTCTTGATAGAAATATATAAAATTGATATGCAAAATCTAAAAAATTTATTATAATAAATTAATTTATTATTATTATTATTATTATTGTTGTTGTTGTTGTTGTTATTGTTATTGTTGTTGTTTTAATAATTTATTATGATTATATATTATTTTAATAAATATTTAATTATTATTATTAATTTTTATAGAAGCAATAAATAATCAATACTGTTCTGCATATAAAACTACACCTTACAATCTAGTATTTGGACAATTACTTCATAGTAAAACTAGATTAGCTAATATTTTAATAAATAACAACTATAATCAGAAAGAATTAAATAATACTGATATTTTAACAAATATTAATAATTTGGAATCCAACAATGATAATGAGTTATATGATTATTTATCTATTTTGGATGATTATTATAATTAGGATAAGTTATATAATCAAATTAAATCAAGGGTGTGGTAACTTAGTGAAGTAGTTAAGTTGTCACACCCCCAAGTAGTATATTGGCAGGTTGGAAGTTCAAAACCCATCAATAATAAAAATTCGAATATTCACTTGTATAATGACTACTGTCTTTCGATGATTGGTTGGAATAGGATTTCTGTAACTTTAGTGACATCAACAAGATTGGAAAATCATAGGGCATTCATGCAATATATAAGTTATATGAAGGCATGCAAACTGGTATTAGTCGATGCAAATTTAAGATAAGATCTTGTATTCGTATAAATCTAAAGAACTAAAAAGATTAACGCCTGCTTGGCAAGACCTAAGTAGAGAAGTAACACAAACCTTTAATAGTAGCTACTAGAATAGGCTCTACCTGAAGCTGGTATAACTGAATAAGGATCAGATATTTGGAGGAAGATACTTTATCAACCAGGCTGCCAGAATCACCAGAGAAAAAAGATCTGCAATGCAAATACCAAGAGACTAGTATTCTATCTGAGCCATCTGGATTGGTAATCTGAGAAGACCAGCTAAAGGTACTAAAAGAGAAGGTACCAGATGTCTTAAAGAAGAGGTACCAGAATTTGGATAAACTTTACAAGGGCTAAGTAGATAATAGTAGCGGCTTTAGCTCACAAGTACTTGTTCTTAGACTCAGCATAAGTTACTAAAGTAGACTAGATAATACAGTAATAGTAGATACTAGACTGCTCTAGCAGGTGATGCACTCAAGAATGAATTAGTTAACTATACCAATAGTTCTATAGATAGTACACAATGATCCTAGAACTTGGACTAACTTATATATCACATGTTCCAAGTAAGGTTAGATAGATTGGCATAGAAAACTCAGATCAGAGGCTTTAATTGAATAACCTAAAATAGTAGATTATAGGTATGACATCTAGTGTAGAACCTAGTAATAGGCAAACTACTTAAATTAGATGCTTAAAAGGTGCAGGAATAGCTAGAATGTACTTTCATCAGAATATACTTGTTTGGGGCCTCCTTGAAAAGAGTATCACATAATTCTATAATCTAATAAAAGTGAAAAGCCAAAGAGGCTAACCTTGACTATAAAAAAAAATAATAATAATCAAATTAAATCTTCATTATATAATCATAATCCAAGTAATTCTTTTAAAGATGACTTTGAATCTAGACTTAATTGAGAAGATTCTATTTCATCTAATAATTTGTATAATAATTGAAATAATAATTTATATTATAATGATAATTGGAATAATGATTTATAATAATAGAATAAATTCACAAGAAACTATTATAATTAGTAGTGATTCAGAAAGTTAATCTTATCATTATAAGGTCCAAGAAAAAGAAAAATAGCAGGAATCATCTATAGAACCACAACAAACAACTTCAAATTCAACTTATCCTATATTTGAACAATATAATAAAATCTATCAAGCTGCTATTTCAAATGTTAAAAAAAATCAGGATATTATTAGAAATACAATAGAAATAAAATATAAAACCAAACAAAATCAGGTATATAAACCTAGTGAATTTGTAAAAATTTGTGTTCCTAATATTGATAAAACAAAATAAATAGATGATTATTACTTTGCAAAATTATTCAAAAAAAACTAATTAAGATTCTTATCAAGTTGCTTGCAAGTTTAGAATACTTGACAACTATGTATCCTGCAAGTAAACTTGAACTATTAGATATATCTGATTATCCTGATCTTGATATTGTTCTATTAAATAAAACACTTTCATTAAGACAAGCAAGTATCAAACAAAATCATATATCTGCAACTTAAGCTTCAAGTTTAAAAATTATACATCTGTGACTCAAGCTTCAAGCTTAAGACAAGTTAATTAAGAATTTAATGAAAGTTCAAATAATTTATCAGAGTATAAATTTATTTTTTTTATTAATATTAAATTTAATTTTTTAGTTAATATTAATTGAATTTTTTTAGTAATAATTCAAATTATAATTTTTCTGTGCAAAAAATTAAATCTAAAAAAACTATTAGCTGTCACTGTCAAAAAACTAATTGTGAAGCAAAAATATGCATTTGCTAAAAAAATAATTTAAAATATTTAAGGAGATGTGGCTGTGTTTTGTGCAGCTAATGTAAAAATAGATAACAATAGTTATTTATTGTTATTTGTAAAATTTGCTTTAATTTTTATATAATAATGATAGTTATTTGTGTTGAATGTTTTATTTTTTTAAAAAAATAAAATTTGCTTTAATTTTCATATATTTGCATTATATTAAAACAGATTCTAGTATGTATTTAATATATCATAATTAATATTTTTTATAATAATGATGTTATTTTATTCTAAATATAATATATATTTTTTTTAAAGAAATGCTTTAATATTTATATAATAACAATGATGTTTCATTCTAAATTTGATATATATATATATATATATATTTTTTTTTCAGCATGTCCTGCCACTATTTTATTAAAATAGTAACTAAGCAAAAATTACAAAATTTTAACTATAGTTAATCCTTCTTTAACCACAACAAGTGACTCACTCAGCTTAAAGCCCAGATACAACATTGCCTAGTGGCTGTTTGTCTCCTTCTAGGTCTCTAACTTCCTAGAGGTATGAATCTTTCGATTATTGGCTGGTGCCACATGCCATATTAGTATCTTTTCTACAAAATACAAACACAAAACAAAGTACAAAAAAAAAGGTGTGATACTTCGATGTTTAAATTTGATCCATCTAAATAAATAAAACTAAAAAACATATAAAAGAAAAACAAAATGAAAGAAAAGAAAACAAAGATAGCAATATTAAACCTGTGTCAGATTATAAAAATTATATAGACTACTAAATAATCTAGTCTAAAACTTTATGCTAGTTATTTATTGTTTATATTGAGATATATAAAATATCTATTCTTGAGTAGAAATCAAGTTCAAAATTTTTCTTGTAGTCCCACCAGGTTCGGTATAGTATTCTGCAATGCTTTTTATACTAAAGCTTGTTTCTGGGCAAAGTTAAGCAACCTATACTTTTTTAGCTTCTGTAGATCTCGGTGTAAATACCGTAACCTCTTGAGGTAACTGATGAAACATTATTAATCTAAAAGTAAACACATACTTCTATATGTGACTTTCCTTTTTTTGGCAGTGATTATTGTTGTTAATTCTTCGATGAAGTATGTTGACTTTTTCACTTTTTGTTGAAATTTTGTAAAGAACAAAGAGTAGGGCTTTGGTAAAGGGTTTTAGTTTGCAGAAATCTTTAAACTTTGGTAAAGAGTGTATTAAAAACTCACTTGTTGTTCTCCTCAAACCAACTATCTTTAACTTTGTTAGCAGAAGCAGAGTTTCTATTAAAATTTTTTGTATAAGTGCACTACTTTCTTGCCAGTTGTTTTGTACAGGAATGCTTTTAACTTGTATACTAAATATACAGAGAAGTTTGAGAAAAAAAAGAAAACCTTGACCTCTGTAAAAACTGTTATTTGTAGTTGTCTCTTCTACTTTGCTCTAACAAGTTTCTGTTTTTGTTAACTATAAGTTTGATAGATATATATTTTTTTAAAAAAAGCTTTAATATTTATATAGGTAAAATTTATAATAATACTAATTTCAAAGTATAATATATATTATTCTTAGAATCGCAAAGATTTTATGTTAATCCTTAAATGACAGAAATCAATAAATGACATATAATATATATAGCAAAGATATAAAAGTTTAATGAGAAGTTTTATTTAATCTTATTCATAAATATTTTATTTGTCAGAAAAAAATCTAATTTTTGATTAATTTTTTTAAAAATATATAAATTAATAATAATCAAGAATATTAGGTATATACAATAAAAATATAAAAGATCTAATGATAAGTTTTTATTTAATCTTATTAATAAATATTTTATTTATCAGAAAAGAAATCTAATTTTTGATTAATCTTCTTAAAAATATATAAAAGCTAGTATTATCTATACTCAAATAGTCTTAACAAAAATAATAAAAAAAACAAAATATTAAGCATAAATAAAATAATATAATATTGATTATCCAGTTTGCTATTTAATTGTTTTCAATTTCATTGACATCATTTTGAATAATATTATTTATTTCTGATTCATTTGTTAATAAAGCAAAAATTCTTCAAATACAATTGTATCTATACAAATTAATAATTAATTCTTTTGTTATTATTTTTTTAATTATAAATTCTTACTTTGAGAAGAGCTTAATATATTTTTAATATCAAATAAATTGTTAAATTCATATAATTGTAAATTATTAAAATAATTATCTTGATTTGGTGAAAAAGTTCTTGATATAACATTTTAAGATAATATTTTATTTATAAATAAAATAAAAATTAAATATTTTATTGTTATAAATTAGAACTTTTGCTAAAAATCTGATTCACCAAAATCAGTTAATAAATTTATAATTTTGGCAAATTATATATAATTTTTATATTTATAAATAATAACTAAATTATTGAGTCAACTTATTATTTAGCAATATTAGATATAAAAATATAGATTTTTATAATTTTTCGCATATGCGATATATTACCACCTATAGGATCTGTGTAACATGAATCAAAACAAACCAAAATAACCTGATTTTTTCATTGGTTAGGGTTAGGGTAAGGTAAAGGTAGTGTAAAGGCAATAAAAGGAGGTTTATAGTAAAATTGCACAAGGAATTTTTTTGTTAGAGCACAAAGAATGGTTTCATAAATAAAATCTTGAGTTATAAACAATTTGTCAAAAAATTCAATATTTGTTTTAATTTCATATTACACCTGATCTTGCATTCTAATTGGTCAATCAGAGGGTAACGATACATCGCTATAACAATAAATTACAATATCCTAAAAATATATATAATATATAAAAAGATAAAAAATATATTAGTTTATAATAATATATATAATATAAAGGATAAATGTATAAGTCGCACCCTGCGATGTGCTTATACATCGCATGTATATACAAAT